AAAAGAAAAGAAAAAAAATCTCTGATGGCAGTTTAAGAAACAATAGGATGAACGGGAGCTGCGGCAGGCTCTGCTACATCAAGTGTCATTTTCCAGTGACAAGAGAGGCAAGTTTCCCCCCCCCGCTCCTCTCCTCTCTCTTTTCTTTCTTTCTTTTCTCCCTCTTTCTTCTCTTCTCTCCCCGCCGCCGCGCTCTCTCCTCCCTCCGCGAGCGGCGCAGGAAGCGAGCGGCGGAGCCGGGCACACGCCGGGCAGGGAGGGCGGACGGGCGGCCGCGCACCCTGGGGCTCCCTCTGCCCGCGCCCCCTCCCTCCCTCTCTGTCGCCAGCGCCGGGGCGGACTCGCCGTCTCTCCCTATGGGAGCCACTTTGACTGTCCCCGCCGCCGAACACGAGCACGGCAGCCCCGGCGCCGCGCTGGGGGCGGYGCCTCCGCGCGCCACGCCCCCCTTCATTTGCATCGCGTCACCACTTCCCCCCTCACCGCGCTCGCCCAATAGGCAGCCGCGAGGCCCCTCCGTGGGGGCGGGGCAACGCCCCTTTATTAGCATAGCCACGCCCCCTCCCTCCCGGTGCGGCCCGGGGAAAGTTGCCCCGGGAGGGGCGGGCGGGTCGTTAATGCGGCGCGGCCGCCGCTTTGTTCATCAAGGAGCCCACGGCTCCTTCAGGGGCGCCGAGTGCCGGCCCGACAGCCCCGGCTGCAATTAGCCAGGTACCCGGCCCGGGTAATTAGGCGTGCGTGGGAGGGAGGGCCTCCGCCACCCTAGCCCCCTGCCGCGACCCCCGGCGCACGCGCGGCTGGCCCTCGTTAATGGGGCGCCGCGCTAATCACTTTGTTATAGCCGTGCGGCCGGCGGGGGTGAGCTCTAATTGCGAGGGGGGCAGAGCCCTGCCTCGGGGCGGGGGGCGCTGCCCGTGGCTGCCCCGACGTGCTGCGAGCGCTGGTACCCGCCTCCGACTCGCTGCCGCCCGGGACCCCGCGGCGGGACAAGCCGGGGCTGCCCCGAGGCCCGCGGGGACTGCGCGGTTACACGGCAAAGACTGCGGGAYGCGCGTGGGGCGCGCGCTTCCCCGCGCCCTGTCCCGCCAACTTCGGTGTCCGCATCTCCCTGCTTAAAAACAATGTCCCTCTCATCCGCCCGACACGGGATCCCCCTGCGCCCTTCCCAAGCGCACTTCTAAGGGGAAAAAGCGCACAGTTTGCGAAGAGAAACTCATTTTTTTCCTTTTGCCTTTATTTTTTCCTGCCGGGAGAAGAAAATAATGATGATAATGATATTTAAAAGCTGCCGCTGGGCCGGGGAGCACCAAGGGTGCTCGCAGCTTCTCGTGGTTCCCGATCTGGTGGTGCGGCTGCGGTGTCACGTCGGTGTCCGCGGGAGAGAACCTGTCCCCCCCGCTCCTCTCGCTGCCCATCGCGGTTCTGGCGGCCGGCTCCGGCACGGGCAGTCCCCACGGAAGGGACCTCCCTGGGCCCGCGCGCGGGTTCCGCCTGCCCAAATCCGCGCTTGAGCTTCCGCGACAAAACCCSGCGCATCCCCTGACAGAAGGCGCTCGCCTGCTCCCGGGGTATCCCTGGAGCTCGCAGCCCCGCCAAGGGATGCCGAGAGCCTGGAAACGCCAGCCTATAAGCAATGCTATAGGCACCCTCCTAGGCGCTCGAGGCAGGACACGCTTCCAACCGCCGAGGCTGCCGTTTGCGCGCACAGGCCGGGCGGATCGGCGCGATCTGCCCACATCCAGGGCGTCCAAATCGCCCCAAAGTCGGCGCCCAGCCCGCGGCCAGCGCCTCCCCCTCAGCCAGAAGCCGAGCCAGCCCCTCGGGTCTGCGTGGGTCCCGCACACAGCCTTCCTGCCCAGACTAATGCCCTGTTCTCACGTATGTCGCGTGTTACAGAGAAATCCTGCACGTTCCCTGCAGATGATGTTTCAATCTTCACATAACCGTGTCTTACCTCAGAGATCCATGGAGGATCCCAGACATGCATCCATACATGGATATATATATGTATTGTATGTATACACCAGACACAGATCTATGTCTGGTGTATATATTGTACATATATATCATATGTATATGTAGTTTTGCCTCCRCAGTGCTCTGGCTTATTGGTCTTCTTCGGGCTGCTGCTGCCTCAGTTGTATCCCGTCCAGCCTAAATGCCTCCATGGTGAGATACATTTTGCAATTAAAGCTGTTTGCACCTGTGCTGATTGCTCCTTTCCCAGGGTAAGGATCTGCTGGGGGAGGAATAATGCGTTTGAATCAATATACTGAGCAGTTGGCAGATTTTGCCCTTCAAAATTGTCCGAGGAAGCAAGGGGCTTTTTCCATGCTTTATTTTTATTTGGATGGCGGATGCAGAGCTGCATCACACCAGCAGTCTGAGGGCACCTCCACTGGGCAGGGACAGCCAGTCGCTACCATAATAAAAATGACTTCTCGGCTGCTTTCTTCCCCTTGCACACACGCAGCTTTCTGGAGGTGACAGTGGGTGACACGGGGCCGCAGGAGACGCCACCCCTGGGGCTCACAGCTGGCTGCAAAGCCGCAGACTAATTGCTGCAAGGAGGAAAGAGTTAAACGCTGCCTCATCCCCCCCAGGGAGAGTGTGAAAGAAAAGCAGGGCTGAAATGAGGAGGGGGTGAGAAAGTCTGAACTTGGCAAAAAGGGGCTGGGGGCGGCTGCTGTGCTCCATCCCCCACAGAGGCCAAATGTAACAGAGTGTGACTGAGAAAGAAAGAAAAAGAGAGAGAGAAAGAAAAAGAGAGAGAAAAAGAGAGAGAGAAAGAGAGAGAGAAAGAAAAAGAGAAAGAGAGAGAGAGGGGGGGGGGAAAGAAGGGGAAAAAAAGAAAAAGAACAATTCCCAGTTGTGTTTAGCACTCACTTTCTCCACATTATCCAAGTCTGGGCTATGTTCTGAACCCACTTCACTCCATTGACTGCAGCGAGTTGCTCCTGAACGTGTATCGGTATCATGCCGGTTATGAGACCAAGCGTATTCATGTGGAAAGCTGTATTTGTCCTTCCCTTAGTATGGCAAAATTAGCTGGAGGACACTGCGCAGCCACGGGGGAGTTTGCACTTGCCTGCCTGGGTTTCTGCACTTAACTGTTCTCTCGCTGCTGAAGGAAACTCGGGCACATTTCACGGAGGCTTTCCTGCAGTCGCAAGTTAAACGCTCTCAATATACAATGCAGAGTAAAACACACACAGACTCGGAGACTGCAATTTTCTCCCAAGGGTAAGTCAATGCTTCACTCCCTAAGCAAGCGAGAGCTGCACATTTGAGCTGCGTGTTTTATCCCAGCGACACAAACCAAGAACTGCTCCTTTGGYGCATGGATATTTCCGATTGGGAGGGAAGGTGGTCACAGTCTCCATGGTCTTAGCTGACTGCAGGAAAATGCCAGAATCCAAACACCAGTGGAGGGGAAAGAAGGAGCAAAGACCTTGGCCCAGGTTGCTGCAGGGAGGTCTGGTCCTGGAGAGAGGCCCTGGGAAGGGCTTGTTGTGAAGGTCACCTTGAGCAAGATGGTCCAGGAAGGAGGTGCCCTGGTGGGATAGGAACAAGGGCCCTTTGCAGCTGGAAATAAAGGTCCCAGAGTGCAAGTAGTGTCCTAAACGAGGCAAGCCCCCTGTGCGGGCACTTTCCAAGCAGATCCAAGGACCCCTTGCCTATGACCTGGAGCCTGTCCAGGGTAACTCCCTCCTTTTACCCCCAGGYCCTGCTCTGAATATCAGGCACAGAGGGGACATTCAGACATTTTCTTCCTCTGCCCATGCACCAAGCAAGGGAAGAGGTGATTGGAAATGAGAACCTGTGAGAGAAAAGCTCCTTCCTCCCCAACTTTCACAGCAGGAGCCCCAGGAGGGACCGTGCTCCTYGGAGTGGAGATGAGCCGCAGACTGAGCCAAGGGCCGAAGGGGAAAAGCGGGCCCTCCTTTCAGGATGGGACTGAAGAAAGCAAAGCAGTGCTCCATGAGCTGGTACCTGCGCTTCCTGAGTGTGCAGGGGCACGGACCAGGGGGATTAGGAACATCTTGTTTGTGTCTTCCCCGGTAAAAACCYTTTTCATGAATAATTCTCTCCCAGCCAACAGGCTCCAGTTCTGATGCAGAGATTCTGCCTCTGTGGGTTAAACCAGCCCTGCAGGGGGGTTAAACAAACCCACTCAGCAACTCGGGATGTTTTGTTCCCACTGCCGGGGCGAGGAGGGGAGAGAGGGAGAGGCTCAGGAAGGCCGGGACAAGGCTCCTGTCCCGGGGGAAGGACCCCGGGTGGCACCAGGTGGGCGGCTGGCACCCACGCTCCACCCTGCCGTGTCCTGGTGGGAATGTCCCACGCAGGAGCCCCCCTGCTCAGGCCCCTCGGGCCGGGCCCGAACGGGAAGGGGCGGGGGGCAGCGGCCGGTCCCCCCCCAGCCCCGCGGCAGCCACGCGTGGGGGGTGCGTGGGGAGGGGGGGGACGTCGCGCCGCGACACCAGGGCGCCACCTGGCGGCCGCGCGCGGCGCCGCCTCCCCCGCCGCGCTCCGGGCCCCTCGGCGCGCGGAGCAGCCGCTCCCAGACCCCGGGGCAGGGAAGGAGGGAATTCCCTGGGACACTGCAGAGACTCCTGCCCTGGCGGAGGGGAAGAGCTGCAGCGCCCCGCGCCCCTGCCAAGCAGTTGAGGCCACCGCATATTTATCTATTCGTTTTGGCGGCAATCGCGCCTGTAGAGCTTACAGTTATTATTTTAGCACACAAAATGTTGCTATGACTCAGCCAAGCATGTAAACATATAATCAGCCTCCTTTGACTTTAGGGAGATGCAGGTCCACATCTCTCCTTCTAGAGGCAAGGGAGAAGCCCAGAAGTTAGCATGGGAAGACAATGACTTCAAGCATATTACTTAGAATGGATTTAAGCATCTACTAAACTTGTCAGACACTTTGCTGAATAGAGGGTGAAGATTAGCAGAAGCATTTAAGTGACTCAGAACCCTGTATCTYCTCTTAAAAGCTTGTATAAACTCTGAGGACTTTACATGTAGGTTTACACTTTCAAGCTGCACAAACACTTTTGAAGGGCTTGCTCCAAAACCTCAGGCTCTTCCTTCCAACAGGAGAGTGATAAGAGATGCAAGCAACTTACTGGATTGGCAAGCATCAGTTCTAGGAACTGATCCCCTACAGTCTGAGGGGATTTTTCTGCTCTTCTTCTGCTGCCCATTTTGAAGTCCATGTTTTTTTTCTGGTATCCACGTAACCTGAGGGCAGCTCCTGACTTCAGCACAAGTGGAACCAACAGCAGCCGCTAGACCAGACATGTTGCCTGCAGCTGGGTTTATACCTTTGACCAGGGAAGTTTTGCACAGGATTACACAGCAGTGCCTTGGTCACAGTGGATTTTGAGATACAGACATATTCACCCATTTAGGCGTTTCCCTGAGCTTTGGAAAACTCAGACTCAGAGTTCAAGTCCCTGCTTTGCCTGACTCAGAGGAGGGATTTTCCTTGTTGCCTTTGAGCAGGATCTCTATGGTTCAAGGCAGACCAAGGTCTTAGACTTGGGCATCCCCAAGTCTTCCTTCACCAGTTCCTGAGGGAAAGCTGTACACACATCCCTCTCAAAAAGGTCCAGCCTGCAAGCGAAACAATAAAAATCTGGTTAAGAGAGATCCAGTGGTGCCAATTACGCTGGTGGGGAGGCACCACCTTCTTCAGGAATTCTGACCTCTCCTGAGTCAATCAGAAACTCTGCATCTATTTTAAAAACTGCGTTTCAGCAAAGCAGAAATGTGCTTAAACGCTTCCCCAAACAGAAATCTCATGAGAGGCACTGGTGAGCGCCCAGCACTGCGCAGGGAAGCAGACCCCATAGTCGTCACCCAAGGGCAATTCCCCAGGACTCGCGCAGGAGCGGGACCTGCTCCGTGCTCCATGTGCACRGTCGCCGGTCACACTTCCCACGCAGGCTGTTTCAACAAGACTCATTCGTGTGCCCCAGCTCTCGCTGCAGGGCTCAGGAAGCAGTCAGARGCCTCCCCAAATGCCTTGTGAACAACGTCGGGAGAAATTACCTCCTCCAGCCCAGAAACAGAGTCCCTGTCGTGGTGTGATGAAGGATCTGTTAAAACAGACCCCGCACCAGAACCTGGGCTGGATTCTGGCCAGGGTATTTGGAGCAACTTGTAAAAAGTTCACTGATTCTTTAATGACTCCACCTGGTTCATGCAGGACCTCTGGTTTCTGTGCCTTGCAGAGCTGCTGCAGGAGAAGTGTCTGAGATGATATGAATCAAACTGGTTCTTCCAGCGGCGTGTTGGTCTGGAATAGCTGTTGACCTGATGGAGTGTTAATGGGAACATTTATTTGTTTCTTTATCACTACAAAGATGTCATATATACTTACCCCACTGCCGCCACCGTTCCCA